AGTTAATTTACCTGGTAAAATAAAGTTTAAATAAATGACATAAATGCTCTAATAGTACACGTAAGTTAGTGGTTTGTTTATTTATTGTTAGTTACTGTAATCTTGCGCCGCTTTATTTGGTTAATTGTCCAGTCTGTGAAGAAGGCATTCAAGTAAGAATTGCATTGTAGTATGACTCATTTCCCGGCGCGTACAATTTACCCGGCGTTCACGGTTCGACTTCTGATATTCAGATCGAGTTCTAGGTCAAACTGGTTTGTTCGACTTTCAAGAAATTCGAGTTCTAGTGAGTTCGAGAACCGAGGTACCACTGTATAGTGTATCTGAAACTAACAATACACTACAAACAGCACAACGTAATGAGATGAGCAGTGAAAACTATTCAACGAAGGGTCAATTCACTTAAATAAAGGTACCATCCCAATGGGAAACGAGCTGGTCATATAAATGCAGAGCTGCTACTAATCATTAAACAAAAGAAAATTTCATTAACGGGCTAAAACAATCTATGAAGACTGAAAAGTAAAGATTGTTGTTACATTTACATCAAAATAAAGATAACTCTTTAATAAATGACATATATGAGGTATATTGAAAGCAAGTTCTTCCACAATGGTGTTATTCCTAACCAAGTTACGTATCATCATGTAAAAATCCAGAGCTAGCTACATTGCCTGTTATTTTGGATATCATGGTCATTGAATAGAAGATCCAGTCCAAGCTGTCCCCTGCCTTCTGTCTTCAGCTTCCTGAGATGGGCTTCCTGTGATGGTATACTGGATTAGCGCTCATGGATGCTTCGATGGTTAGAAGTAAAGAGTATTACTTTTGGGGTGGAGGTGATGGTGATATTACTACTATCATTGGGATTGGAGTATGTTTGGTAGGAACTATAGTGAGGTAACTTCAGATTGTTGATGTTTACAAGGAACTGTGCCTAAGGTAATATGGAAAAAGACATCACTGGCTACGGCTCACTGTGGATAAGAGGACACACTTCCTGAAGGTCATGTCAGTGCTGTGTTTTGTGTTTGGCTGCTGCTTTAGTTTTCAAGGCAAAGAATAAAATACAACACCCCAATCGACTTTCGGCAATTGTCAATCTATGGTACAGAGAGGCAGTGGACCGAATGTCGAGGGGCTTCACACAGAGGGGGGCTATGGGTGGCTTGGACCACAACAGAGCAATGGTGCAAAGAACACAAACAGTAGTCTACTGAGAAGTGGAAAAAAGTCATATGGTGAGATGAGTCATCTTTCACATGAGTGGGGTGTGCCAAATGAAACCTACAGGCTTCAGTGATTGTTTCCCATGGTTCTCCCGAGGGTTCTGGCAGCCATCTTATAATCTGGGGTGCATTTTCCTGGCCTGTTTTTAGCACCACTCAAGACGTCAGAGTTTGAAGTAAATGACAATAAATAGAAAGTCATCGACTGATCACAGTAGACCTGTTGGTGAAGCATTTAAATGCTGACAGTAGTTGAGTCTCATGTGATTCCGATATCGTCTTCCACAGAGCTGTAACTTAATAATTCGAAAATCAAGGAAGAAAATGTAACTCATATACCACAGACGTTCCCGTCACTAGGTCTCAACCAAGTGAGCATTTGCTAGAGATTCTTGCATGGTATCTTGGATAACATCCACTGTTGCCATCATCCGAATGATGACTCCAAATGATGGAATTTCATGTGGAAGAAAGGTATCGTGGGTAGTCTATTTGCCAGCTAAAAATCTGAATAAAGTTTCTGTGATAAGCTTGATGTTCTTTCATGCCATCAACAGAGAACACAACACCCCCAACTCCAGTGCCATACCTAAAATAAGTAACATGCATAATCTAGAACTGTAAGTTTTGAGTTTAACTAGCTAATTTATAATATAACCACAAAGAGAAAGCTGACTGTTAGACCAGTGCCTCAGCATAAAGGGCAGACCCCTGGACAAATATTTCCCAGAGAGTTGGCAGCCACAGAATTAGGCTACTGCAAACCACTCTAAAGCCAGAGTCTGCCCCCCAGGGGTGCTATAAAGGGGGGAGGGGGGAAATAGGACAATTCTAAGGGCCCCTAACTGACAGGGGCCCTAAAAATTTTCATACATAATTGGACCGGTCTGGATTGAGGGCCCAAAATGATACTCTTTCATGGGACCCAAAATCTCTAGCAGCACCCTTGCTGCCCCCCCATCTCTATCTTGTTGACTGTTTCTTAAGCAGGCAGTCATCCACAGTTCCAATATCTAGTAACCACTTCCACCATACCCAAGTGATGTCCCAGGTTACACCAGTATTAGATGGTTAATTACAGCTACACTGTGTGTGACATAAGGCAGCAATGTGATGAAACAAGCCTGTGTGGAATTCAGCTCACCAACAGCTCAAGTCTCTTGTGAAGTTGCAGGATGTCTTCTGGCCGGTTCCTCTTTTAGCTGCACAGAAGCAGACTGATGTCTGATAATACTATGCGCCGACTGTTGTGGCTCCATGCCCAGGAGACAGAAAGTAATCACATTCATCACATCTTACTCTATTGCCAAGTAGCCCTGCATAGCTAACAAAGTCATTATCCATTTGCTTAGCTGCTGCATTTATCAAAAGTGATTTGTGCTGCTTAAAGCATTTTGTACACTTTTATATGTTTATTGATGCATTTCTGATTAATTTTGCACAATGGCACAGCTACTCCAATTGCCAACAGTATGCAGTGGTCTTGTACTACCTTGCAGCACAGATAAGACATACCCCTTCTTCCTAAGATACACACACTGTTCATGAGCTTAAGAATTGACCAGTCCTTAGTAATACGGCACAGGTATTTTAGTATTTTTATGTAACACACTCTACATACAACCAAACACTCCAGGCCAGATAATTAGGTAGGCCTGTCTGTTAATGTAAAAAGCCCACTCCACCAAACAGAGAATCACATGGCTGCAGCCAAGCACAAACAGTACACAGCCAGGGTCAAGAGTTTCACTTACTGCTTGGCTAAGTATTACATACTGTAGAATGACTGAAGTGCCTAATGTATGAGATTTTCAACAGCGTGCAACTGATGGTGCCACGTGTGTCAGTTCCAGCACCTCAGAAACCTCCTGGGATTTTCACATGCTACAGTGTCTAGAGTTTGCAGTGAATCGTGTGATGAACAAAAACATCCAATCAATGGCACTTCTGTGGGTGAAAATGCCCTGTTAATGAGAGAGGTCCGAGGAGAATGGCCAGTTCTCCTTTACTGAATGACTCATTAAAGCCAACAGGAAAGCAAACATAACAGCTCAGTATAACAGTGGTGTGCAGATTGATCTGAACACACAACTGGTCTACCCTTCAAGCAGTTCAGAAGGCAAAAGTGTGTCCTATCCAGTTGAAGCTATGTGTACTTAACAAAGTGGTCACTGAGCATATATTCCAGTCAATAGTTTGGACACACTTACTCATAGACATGTTTATTTGTACTATTCTGTAGCTATGACCACTTTCTCTCTCCCTCAAAGGGATAAAGTCTGCATCTTCTGCCCACTCTGCCCACCACACTCTGGTGCCAACCTGTACAGACATAATAACCACGTCCAGACATTTACAAGTCAGGCCCTCGACTAGCAGTGTGGCTCAATGAGAGATGCTGAGCATCTTTATGGTTTTCCCTCCCACTTTGACTAAAGACTTTCCATACTATGCAATCATTCCCATTATGAATCTGGTTCCATTTCATGGTTCTGGTGGTCCAGACTCCTATTTTTTGCCTGCTCTGTTGTTCCACTCATTTCTGGATACCCAAAAATAAATTTGTATAGTGTATCTAAAACTAACAATACACTACAAACAGCACAACGTAATGAGATGAGCAGTGAAAACTATTTAACGAAGGGTCAATTAGCTTAAATAAAGGTATCATCCCAATGGGAAACGTGCTTTGAAAGTGCTACTTGGATACTAAAAAATTAGATTGAATGCCTCTATCAGGTGCACACAGATCTACTGTACATCCTAGTCTTATACTGTTCAGAGTCATATCCTCCAATGCAAATAGGATTTGCAGGAATCCTCCATTTGTGTTTAGGGTACATATACTACAGTTCTAACACATGTTCCTGCTTGGGGGTTTTAACACCAGAAATCATTTTTAATTCGGATAATTCCATTATCATAGTTTAAAAATGACTACTGCTTGAAACATGAACAAGCTAGCAAAGTCTGAAATAAAAATACTCAAAGTGAATTGTTCCACTTTGAATATTAATGCTAAATATTTGATGTCTTTATACAAATGGTACTTCACATTTAAAAGGAACCTGTTTGATTATGCAAGTTTAATTATATTTTAAAAAATGTTAAGCCTTAGGTGGTGCCCAAAAAATCTGTGCTGGGGAGGAACCTACAGGTTTGCGTTTTAAAGTTTTTCATAAAGGTGGATTTTATTCAACACTGACATTCACTGCCCACAGAAGCACTGTGGGAAGGAACGTAGCTACAGCAGTCCCTCTGAAAAGGTGAACATAAATGAAAATATATGCAAGTAAACATAAAAAAATTGCTTTGTATAAGGGAAGAATGAGAGCGACTGGTGACCATGTAGACACTGCAATCTGTGGAGATTCCACTGAAAACACAAACTGAACTGTTTTGGTAGGTCTGGTAACAGGTTTACACTATAAATAAAAGTACAACAGATTTAAGATTCAACAGCAACTAGCAGTAACCAAGCTAGAGGCTGGGGGATACGCAGTTCAAATAATGGTGGAACCTGACAGCCTGTCTTACCGCACTGGTAAATGGCCCACTGTAACGGTTAAACCTGGCTTGCTAAATAAAGACAGAACGATTAGGAATGTAATGTTGCCTGTTTGGTGAATAGAAAATGCAATACACTCTTACTACAGTGCCAGTGGTCCTCCCATGACACATACCCCACTCACTATTAACCAGCCTGGTCACGTGGGCAGCGGCTAGCTGCCTGCTGCCATGGCAACAAGGCTCGCACTACCGTGAAATTCTGCTGCTCTCCCTCCATTTTAACGCTCTCCTCTGTCTGCTCGACAGCCTAAATAAGCAGCTTTGTGGTCTAGACTCCCGAGCACACCGAGACAAACTGTCCTGCAATTAGAGGATCCATCAGCCTCCCGTTTAGCATCAACGGCACCAAATTAATCATTTAAAGTGGGTCGTAAAAGGCAGGGTAGATCTGAAAATGGGCACATCCATTCACATGTATGCATAAAGACAAGCCTGTTTATACTACCGGGAATCTGAGGAAGAAAGCTGCCTCCAGACCGGGCACCGTGCCGCTGTCATGGGGCGATCCTCAGCGCCTCGGGCACAACGAAGCAAAACACACCCGGGCAGGCGGCGTGGCGGCGACATGCTGCGCTGCGCTTGCTTTCGGTGCGATCAAACGCGCTAAAAATAAGCAGAAGGTCCCGGAGGTGCTGAAATTAATGAGTTTACGCCCAGGTGTGTCCCCCGGGAGTGGTGCCGCCCCAGTGGGCGCCTCCTCAGCGGCCGCTTGACACAACAACGACCAGAAATGGCATGCGGTTAAACAAATGTGCAGGCTGTTAAGCTAAAATGTGTTCACGGTAGGGGTAACTTGTTTTAAAACGAGCAAAATGACCCAGCATATGGCGTATTTCTTTACCTGTTATATTTATTTACTACTACAAAGACTGCATAATGGGAAACCAGCACAGTAAAATAAACAGATTCCCACGCTAAATCTAGACGAAAGGTTAAAGATAATCTAAGCACCTAATGCGTATTAATATTTAATTGCAAGTGTCAAGCTGCAGTCTGGGATGTTAGAGAGGCAGGGGGTACATGGGTAATATTTTACAGAGTTAAAGGCATACGGGGTGTGTAGGGAATGTAACAGATGTCTGCGACGAGGGTGTCTGGAGGAAGCACAGCGGGCCCTGGAGTGCCCAGGGATTACTATTGGAGTGCAGAAATTCGTGCCAGTAATGTTCGCCCTGTGGATCTGAAATCCTACTTGCACACCAGGGTGAAGTCTGGAAAAAAATGGATTGTTTCTTTGACTCCTGAAAATGGCATATAGGTAGCTGTAAGGGTATAAAGAGTGCCATAAAATGTTCACAGTAACCAAAGTCCCAGAAATACCAATAAGGGAAGATTATAAGGCACACTGAAAGAATGGAACTGGAGCCAAGATGAAAAAAAATCTGTAACTTCTAGAAGCAGAATTTTTTTGGGAGTTTTGCAAAAGCCGCAGATGACACACAAATAGTTTAGTAACTTATAAATGCATAAAAATTATATAGTGCTGGTTTGGAGGATGCCAGGTGTTTACTGCAGCATCTCGTGTGATATCTCTCAGCGATCTTGTTTCTCTTCGCTCTGCTCGCCAGGGGGACCAAACAATTTTACATGGCTTTTCCAGATCGAAGGGGGCCTGGACCTCTAATAACCCCCACCAAGTGGAAGGGTCGACTATTATTATTCTCTAATCTACAGCTCACCTGCCATACCCGCTTTACCTTGGTATTCATTTTTAGATGACCCTTCCATATCAATCATGCAGACTGTGATTTGCTTGTAAATGTTTTTGCTCATTATCAGAGTATGGTTATTTGATGTGGAAGGAAGCCAATTTCCCCCGTGCTGCTGGCTTTTCGCTCCTTAAGGAAAGTCCGTGTTAAATCCCATTTAAACCCTCTAGTGGTCCCTGGCTTTTCTCTGCCGGTGATGGCCAAACCCTGCTAGTGGAGGGAGAGCTCCATTACCTGCTTTTCCTTTTGAACTTCCATTTAAAAACGATGGCCCAGCTTTACATTTTCTACCTCGCTTCTCTGACATGCTGCTGGTAACTACAGCAGCAGTGACGTATTGTGTTCCATGACATGTATTGCAAATCAGCAGATTCATGGCTTATTGATTGTCCATCCACAGGTACCGAGTTTTCCGTTTCCTATGCATAATCATCCGCAGTTGCTGTGAGCCTGGAGGCCAACCCTCAATACACAGGGCGACCACGCACACACAGTCACACGCCACAGCCAATACCAATTCAGTTACTTATATGTTTTTTCAGTTGTGGGAGGAAAGTAAATACTTGGAAGAAGTCCAATCACACACAGCCAGAACATATAACCAACACATACACGCACACACACAAACACACATACACACACAGTCCATGTATTCATATCTTTATAAGGAAATCTGGTCCCCACAATGTAATGATTACAAAAAATGCGCGCGCACACACACGGCCAGGAGTAACATTCAAAGCCACAGTCTGGGAGGTGTGATGCTACAAGGTCACGCACCAAGCAAGCTTACCACCCCCAAGTTTTCATGGAATCGATAATTATTTTAAGGAATATTTAATGAACTTGGAGCTTCTGTCTTGTACACATGTATAGATACTGTGTGACGACTTTGGTGGTTCCCCATTGTCCGCAGCCGGCCTCCAAACTCTGGGCTGTCTCTAGTGGCATTTCATCCCTCAGGACGGTGGAGTTCTCTGTTGACTCATTTTGCGAGTGTTATTTATAGACAATGAAAAGGCTTCCACTGAGTTAGCCTGATTTTTCCTGATGCATAAAATTATGCTGATGCCTGTACCTTTCCCCCTGCTGCCATTAAGGCCCAATTACCAATAGGCATGTCCCTTAGCGGCCCTGGGGCAGCAAATGTGAAGCCAGTGACATCCTGGGACGGTTAACCTCTACACCACACGGAGGTCAGGCTACAGCGGACATACCGAGGCGGTAAGCGTCCGCCTTTTAAGTCCCTGTAGTCCCATGCGATTTCATTCCGCATCCATGTTAGCTGTTTGAGGAAAGGACTGCAAAATTCTCCCCCCCCCCCAAATTTGTCACCTAAAGCCAAAATTATTCAATATCCCTGAAGAGGTCTGGGTTTAATCAGAACATGTTTAATCAAGGACAATTTGGAATCAGAATGGGCGAGCCTAGATACGGGAGACATGAAGGATTTGCTGTGAAAATCTGAATGAGACTATTTAGGTTTAAGTGGCAATTGACTCTTAGTATCCAGCAAAAATGAGGAACTTTAAAAGAAATCCTGAACAGTTCCTACACCCAGAGTTGTATGAGCTTTCTGGGTAACCTAAAACTGTGAGACAATATGGTGTATTAGCTTCACCGCTTGTTTCAGCCGTCAAATGGATAATGTCTGGAAATTCTGAGTCGGAATCCTTGAAAGGAGATTTAAATGATTTAAAATGGGATTTTAAAGAACTCTCGCTAAGAAACAGGTCTTTCTTCCACAAAAGTATTTTGCTTGCTTCTGTATTCAGCTTCACATGTGACTTGTGCGGTCCGGTTGGATTGCCGTGTGGCACTCATTACAGCCCAGAGGCTGCACCCATGACCTTCTTAAAGTGGTGTGCCGGCTGAAAGCACTGTAATTCAGAGAAATTATAGTGGTGCTAGCTGCCAGAGCCACTGGCACACAGAAATTAAAGGAAAAGAGAGAAAAACACAGAGTGAGAGGGACATTCAGAGCCACAGATAACTTGGCTTTTATTTTGGCTGTTGGCCCCAAATACAAAGTCAGGTGTTTTTCAAACCACATTTTGCAAAAATATACGAAATGGAGAAGGAATCGTCGGCACAGAAAAAAATCATTTGGATTAGAGGAATAAAGGCAGGTAAGAATAAAGAAATGGGATTTGCCTTCTATTTACATACCTTGCTAGGCTTTTTGAAGAGGTTAAAAATCAGGTTAATCGTACAATTTTGATTAAGTATCTTGAGAATGATGCTAGTTATAATGACTAACTCAGGCTTACCTAGGGGAATGTATGGTCAAGACTATAATAAGTAAGTATATGTACAATACTGGGTGCACTGTAGTCACAAACTAATGTTGTGATACAAGCCATGTCCTTTTATTGTTTAAAGTGGGAACTCTTGCTTTAGTCAGTATCCTTACCTGGGCGAACCAGCGTCTCCATGTGGATTGAGCAATGGAGTTACCATGGCAACCGCATCTCGTGCAGAATGCAGAAAGCAGGGGTTGGAATTAAACAGGAGCACACCGTATGCAGATCATTCCTGAACAGCAGTGAGATTTGAGCAAATGAGACCCTTCCAGATCCTCTTCTACCAGTGAGGGTCTGGTAGCAAGATGACCAAAAAAAAAACAAAAAAACAATGGCTGCATTTTAAAGGGTGTTTTATTAAAAAAAAGTCATTTTGTATGCAGACTGATTATAATATTATTTTTATTACTATCATCATTTGTCATGGGATGCATGAACACAGTATATCATTGATAGGAAGACTATTGCTAGGAGGGAATGCTAGATGGTCACTTCATTAAATAAAGAGTAAACATTGAAAATATCTGGTCGTAATCTTAAAAACGAAAACAGTGAGAACAGAAGACTGCACAGGGGTTCAAAAGACGGATGCTTCACAGTCTCGACCTTTGCCCTCATGCTGGCGTGTGCAGACAGCTACCCATAGTGACAATGCTGGACATGCGGGGGTTACAGCAGTGATGGCCACAGCCCCCAGTCGCTGTTAAATGCTGAAATCAAAGAACATCCTCAGAGGTCCACTATTCTCTTTCTGTCAGCTTCCCTTCCAGCGCTGTCCAATGTCCAGGGATGTTCTCATTTGTATGAGGACAACCAGTCGTCACGTCCAGCTGCAGCTGGAAGCCGTGGATTGCATCTTGGTGCGTCGATAAGGTGAACGTAGGTTGCTGAAATTTGCTGTGGTCTAACATCTGTGCGTCATTTTCACTCATGCTGCAGTAAAACCTCTAGCATTGTCCCACTTCTGTCCAGAATGTGTGTGAGGGTCTGTGTGTGTTTGTGTGTGTGGTGTGTGTGTGTGCACCTGTACAAACATATATTACACTTGGAAGTATTTACAACAGATAACAGACCTTAAACCAAAGCCTGAAACAAAATTAGGGAAAAAATGCCATGACTGGAGTTTGTTCGGAAAGGCAAGCATAAACGGACAAACACACATAAAAAGTTGATTCTTACAGAAATACATTTGATCCTTTCCTACAGATCTTTCCCTTTCACATAAAAAAATGTACAAAATTTGAAATGCATTTAATGATGCATCGTATGATGCACTGCCCGCGCAGTCCGGTTTGGAGCATCTCCTTTCTTATTATGTATGTGCTTTTCAAAGCTCTCTTTGCCTTCCCTTTGCTTGTAAAAAGCTTATCAGCAGAGGAAACAAAACAAGACAGGTGCATTTTTTTTGCTACCATAAGAGGACTAAAAAATGGTGGGATAGCTGGTGAGCATAACGGACAGTCCGAAAGACATCATTTCTGAGTTTGGCCCCGCACTGCAGTGACTTTTCCCAGGTGTGGGCGGGGGNGGGGGGGGGGGGGGGGTTATCAAGGAGCACGCAAAGGCTGTTGAATCCTAAACTTGCTGCAGGCAAGAATATATTACACAACTTGGAAACCAGCGGGGTGAGTTCAGAGAAATGATAGCTTTCTTTAAAACAATTCCCATGTACGATGCAATGTATCCACCCCCACCGTATTTAAAGGTGCAAAAAAACCAGGAAATAATATGAAACATCTTCTGCATGCAGCACTCAAGCAGACTCACTGTTCTGTGGTCCTGGTCCTGTCGTGGTGGGGGGATGACATCAGGAGAGCACACTCTCCTGTGGGGTCAGAGTAGCTAACAGTTGTGCTCCTACCCTTTGGCTCCCTGTAGTGTTCATTCTCCTATGTAAATTACACTAATAACGATAATAGTATAGTTCTGTGGTGAGTCAGTCAAATCCCTGCACCTGGAATTGAATGTCATTGAAAAAGAAAAAGAACAGAGGAAAGCTAATTTCCATTAGGACTGTGTGTTTCTGTTAACAAGACACAAGATAAGCTGTCAAAAGAACCAAAAGAACACAAAATAAATGCAAAGAAAAAAAAAGAGACAATAGAAACCTTGGCACAAAAAGGAGGACTTTGGAAAACAGACACACCTCTTTCAGACAACGCAGACCCGAAATCTTACCACAGTATTGCCATGTTCTGAGTTAAATTGCAACATATTTAACTCCAATGGGAAGTGCCTAAGTTTGGAAGTTTGTAATCTGTGATTATTGTGATTTTTTTTTCAGACAGCAAATCAGATGCTGGTAAAACAAATCCCTGCTTCAAATCCATTTTCTGGTTTGAGTTCTATGCTCAAAAGAACATTCATACAAGTTTCATCTTTAGTGTCTGAAAAAACTCCCTGATGTATAATCTAGGCAATTTGAAAAGTGCTAACCTGTCTGGACATTTTATTTATGTATGTTCAATGTCCAGATATATAATTGTGTGTGTGTATGTATACATATATTATACATACAACTTTTACATGCTTTACAGGAAAGAATTTGCTTGTGCAACACAAACCTTCAAATACCGGGCACTTTGTTGAATTATTCTACATATTACATAGGGTATATATTTGTATATGTATATAAAAGAACATAAACATTTTTAAATATTTTGGTAGTCTGCTCCTCATACTTACAATTGTGCCATAGAATAAAATATATTTTTAAAATTATGTATAGTATAGTAGCTATAAAATAATTCTAAATGTTTACATGCAATATGCCATGTTATGTCTCCAAATATTTTACATCTGGAAAAAATTATAGGTTCTCTTCTGCCATATCCATTGATGTGGATGCATGTCTGTTGCAAACTATAATAAAATGAACTGCAGTTATTCACTATTCTAATTAGTTTCATTGGCCATGGTACCATCAGGCATACTGGGGTGTCATACTGTGCTTTTTAGACTAACAAAGCATATTGTTTGAATCCAACCTCAAATAATCTTTCTTTGGTTCAGGTTAGGTTGGTTCCCTTTTTATTAGATCAAAAGAAGTGGGAAAACAAAATCTTTTAATCTGGGTGGTTGTCGCCGTAGATGGAGACCTCTGACATATGAATGCGGGACATTGGGAGTTCTTGCAACCTGAGACACTCCAAAAAGCCCTAAATGAACCTGCTCAGGACATCAACCATTATTGCTCTGTCTGGCCACGCCCACCCTTTGGATCACACCTACTTGTTGGTCTCTACATTCCAACCACTCCTCTCCTTCCTGACCTGGCCAAATCACCGGACAAGACAGCTGCATTATTCCAACCCCTTCTTGCATCTAATAGGAAGTCCCAGGGGTGAATCAGTTTCTATCATGACATTGGGGAGGAGGAATAATGTACCAAATAAATATGACAATTTATGCACACATGTTGTATGATACCATGGTACTCCATTAATAGAGTAAAAGTATTTATCTTATTATTTGAATGTTTTTTCTCTACAGGTCAAAACTGCTCAGTACTTGTGATTGATAGTTTAATCATCATAGTCATAATATCTATCTTTCCTGCCTTGTCATGTATCTATGTCTGGATTATGCAAATTTCACTCAAAAGTACATGACCAAATCAGTACCTGTATAATTTCTAAGTCTTCCATAAGTGCTGTTACTCTAAAAGACACATGGCACATAAAGGTTAGTAGCTCCACTTGTCCTATTTGCTTACTAGATCACAAAAGAGAAGGATATATACCTTCTATCGCCTGTTGAATGGAGAATTGTGGGACTGTGCATTGTGTATCTCACATGACGTTCATGCTACAGGATGCAGCTGTCTAAATGTATCAATCTCAAGCCTGCATTTCAGAGATAACCGATTTGAGACGGGTGATGCCACTGGGGGAGGATCTCTCAAGGTGTGCAGGCACCTACTTTCAGCCTGACTCCCTGCCCAGTGGTCATTGGTGGTGCCTGAGGTGATGCTCTCCCCCTCCACCTCCACCGCCTCATCTGTGAACATCTCGTTGGGTTTGGAAGACACCAGCATCGAAAACAGGCTGGTAAGAAGTGACATTGTGCCTAGGGCTTATGAGAGCAATCAAGTCCTGTCTCTGAATGGGGAGGGAGAGTAAAAAACAAATAAATCAAAAATATGCTAAGGACTCAAAGGATGTTCTGTTTCACAGATGACTCTTCAAAGCAGTAGATTTTAGCACTGGAGAATTTTTTTTTACACTAAAAAAGGCCACTTCATCAGCGGGATGTTCTAAACAGCCCCCACAACTTGGCACGGATGGGCAGTAGCTGGTCCCGTGTGGCACTGCTGGACACGTGAGGAGCATGCAGACGGCTGGAGCGGAACCAGCAAGTGAACCTTAAAGACTACCAGTACTGAGCACTACAGAGAGACACTAAAACAGTCCGTTTGCCTTGTAGCTGAGTCACATTGTATTATGAGAATAGAAAGAAGACATTTACGCATTGGCAAAAAATTCAGCGTGTGGCATTTCAAACGTGACTCAAGAATTTGACTTCTGTCCTGTGTTTCTCTGATACAGAACACCAGGAGAGGTGAGATTTCAGCCGGCAGAAAATATCAGGGCTAAACATGGAGAAGCTGAAGGAGTTTTCTTCCTAAACAACATAAATCTTAAAAACAGCAGTAGAAACCTGCGGTTAACTTTATAGCTGCCTTTTCCTTCCTTCCGTATCAGGATCTTTCTGTTGGGCCGACTTAATAATGGAGTGAATTTTTTGGCTGAGAGCATCTGACCGGTGGATTTTGCGGCCGTCTCGCTGACACAGCAGCGGCGGGGTGTCAGCGGCCTCCGTCCCGGTGCCTCGGCCCCCGGATTAAAACCTGTAACTTATGTGGCTGAAGGAAAAATAGAAGAGGAGGAGGGAGAGGCAGCCCCAAGCTGACCCACCATGCAGGACAAATGCCACACACACCAACACGCAGGGGTCGTCTCCCTCAAACCACCACCATGATCCCGGCTTTAGACGCCCCACTCCCTCTGCTACTGTCACCCTGTGGGATCACTGAAAGCATGCCATTGTCCTTTTCCACTATTCCACACTTCTTCTGTGTCAGTCTCTCCTTCCCTGATGGAAGCTCCTCCTCACGGACGACACATTCCGATTAAAAAAGGTGACGCTTAATGGACTGAGTATGCTGTGAATGGATCATGTTTTCATATGAGAAAGGAAAGTGGGCGGTGTAAGGGGTTACATAAAATTCTGCTAGGTCACATGGTTCTTCGCTCTTCTTTTTGAACACACCTACTCTTCCCCCAGCTTCCACCTCCAACTCGTGTCTACTTGACCCCATCTCCTCCTCGTTCCTTCTCCCCTGCTCCCACCAGGCCTACATGACGCTACACTTTCCCTTCAGCTTGTCAGCACGCTTCTGCTTGTTGGAGCGTTTGCCGTCGATGTTGAGGCTCATGTTCCGCTTCTTCTCCAGGTTGAGCAGCTCCTGGAAGAGCTCCTTGACGTTGTAGTTCATTTTGGCTGAGGTCTCCATGAAGGCGCACTTCCAGGTGGCCGCCTGGGCCTCGCCCTCCCTGGTCTCCACCTCCCGCTGGTTCTCGTCGCACTTGTTCCCCACCAGCATGACGGGGATATTCTCTATGCTGCCCTTGATGGCCAACACCTGCTGGTAGATGGGCTTGAGCTCCTCCAGTGACTGCCGACTGGTGATGGAGTAGACCAGGATGAAGGCGTGACCCTTGGAGATGGACAGACGCTGCATGGCGGGGAATTGGTGACTGCCCGTGGTGTCAGTGATCTGCAGGGTGCAGACGCTCTTGTCGCAGCTGATCACCTGCCGGTACGTGTCCTCCACAGTGGGGATGTAAGTGTCCCTAAAGGTTCCCTTTACGAAGCGCAGCACAAGAGAGCTCTTCCCCACCCCCCCGGCCCCGAACACCACCACCCTGTAGTCATTGCTCTGCTCTGGCATCTTGGCCTTGAAGCTTCCACACTACGTGTTTTCCTAAGCCTGAAAAGTAGAGAGAAAGCATGGCTTTGCAGGGCATACATCTCAAGAAACATCACTAACATCACCTCTTGAAATTCTGATACCCCCACCCCCCATCCTCAAGGATAGATGCATGTGGTGTAAAATACCTCAACCACATTGATGCAGGAAATCTGTGCAAACCAACCTCTCTGAAAACAAGGGATCACATATGTCTGATTTAAGATGGATCTTTGCCAAATGATGATTCTGAGTTCATCTTTTACTTTATTTGGGGTTTTGAACTATTTTTAAAAAATTCTATTTCACGTCATTATTAATAGAAAGCATTAATAGATTTTATGACAATTCTAAACCAGGTAGTCTTTCATAATTTAATACCTGTAAATAGATGTGCATGCAAGTTTGGAAGACTACAGTATTCCAGGTTAAACGCTCCTTGACCCAGTGTGTAGCCATTTAAGCAACACGGTTTACAGGCCCTTTTGAAAAAGGTCCTTATACATTATCGTTTATCTAAGCCTGAAGCATCTCAGCGGAGCAATGGACGATCGATAGGCTCCTTCAGTGCTGTGACTGCCCCACGGGCTGCCATATCAAAACACATCGCGGCCACAGCATCTCTGAAATATGGCCGGTACAACACTGGGCCCTGGGAAATCAACGTCGTGTTCGTGCGTCCAGAAAACAATGCTGGCACTTTTAACGCCGGGATCAGATTTCATTGTTAATGTGATTAGGCAAGGAAACGGAAGACAGGTCCCGTCAGAGTAATATGATCAAACTGCTTCAGCGTCAGGCTCATTACCATATGTGCCTCATTTAATTTAATATGACATACTGTATGTATGTAACTGTGTATCTGCGTGCGTGTGAAACAGAAATGCAGAAGAAAATCGGAGACTAAATGTGGGCGATGCAGGAAATGCACATTACTTAATGCATCCCTGTGTGAATCCATGTTTACGTATTATTCTGGGCAGCTGAGTTAACATCCCCACCCACATCAAATTGCATTATGCATCTGAGTGCTCCTCTTCTCTGCATGCACGTGTATCAGTGAAGTTCAGCATTTGTTGTGCATCCCTGCATGCATCGCTGTAGATGGGCATATTTGTGTGTTTCTCTTTCTCACACCTACATACATCTGGGTACACACCACAAAGGTCAATATGGGAAACACTAATTTTCTATATATCAATAATTGGAAAAAAAGAAGAACTATATTTCTGGATCCAATCTCTGGGTTTATAAACCAGAAACTGCGCATAACTACTTATAACCAATCTAAGTGCCCCAAATTTCCCCAAAACCATGCTAGTGTGATGTTCTACTTCATGCCACCACACACTGCACATTATAAAAATGAGCGGCAGCTGTTAGACGGCACTATTTCCCAGATAATTGTGTCTTTTAAGGGCAACATTGCAGATGTGGATTCCCAGCTTGCTGAAGGCATCACCTGATGCTCTCCTCAGCCACCGGTGCTGATCTGTATTCCCGTCTTGGCCACGCTCATGCCGCTTGTGCCCCACGCATCCCCGTCCGTGCGTGTTTCCGCGTGCTTCAGACTGCGCCCTCTGTCTCCGTCAGCACAAGGGCTGGACATCGTTAACTCATTTATCTTGCTGAAGCTCAACCTGAAGCCATCGGTCTTTGAGGCAAGGGAGACTGGGAAATGAGGATGACAGATGAATCACACCTATGTGTCTCTCAGAAGGTGAGGAGGACAAGCCGTCATCTCCATCATTTTAACCTGTCTTACATTGTGCTCAGAACTACAGGGGCTTTGTTAACCCAACTCCACGGACTGACAAGAAAAGCAGTTTTTACTCTATAACTTCTGACAGGCATATAGAACTGTAAATATATAAATGTCACTATGAATCATGTCAAACTATAGACAAACGCCATTCCAATGTGTTACTGGCAGATAATAAAGCAAAGGATTAAGACAGTTACACGAGGACCACTATGGACAGAGACCCCGGTGTGACTTTTACAGGAGGGCATCATGTCATCCCCAGCGCCCCCCAAAAAAGAGCTGCTCTGAAGACCCCAGGCACGCTCTCCGATTGAGGCACACGTGAGGTCACCCCATGCGGTTAAATCAATAAGTAAATGGCAAGGACCCTTTGATCGATGCCTTTCAGCTCTATGACAGAAACAGCAGGATCTCCAGTCCACTGCCAGCAATACTAACTGACTTATCCTTTCGGGGGGGTGGTTGGGGGCATCTTATTAATTTATATTTGCCTGGGGCTTGCAGCTGAAGCAATTTAGTGTATTAGTGACTTTAGCCAACCTGCCCTGCCAAAGCCAACATTAACTCTGGCACGTCCCCCTCCAACGTCCTCTGCTGTTTCCATGGAGACCAGCCGATGCCGTCACGCTCGGAAATAACCTCCACACTCGTGTTCATCAGGCTCGTAAATGCAGAGAAGGCCGCGCGTTGGGCCGTGGTGCAGACCACACCATTCAAACCGATAAAAACCTGCCACCAGAATCTGCCCTTTAATAACAGCTAAACGCAGTCACCCAGAGTAACAAGCCGAGTCACCTGTCCTGGGAAATACCTGGCACAAGGCAGCTACGGCTGCTAATCTGTAACAGGCTTCCAAGTAATACCTGCTTTCCCCTTAAACGAAGCCTCCTCAGCCATCCATCTTCCTGAGGCCGTAACACACAGTGACAGCTGGGGCGAGAGGAGCTGCGTGCCATATGTCTGGCTGCCATTTTCCCTGACGCATTGACCGGCCGTTAGTAACTGCGGATGCCACTGTGACGAGCACACGACGACCTCGAGGAGGCCGGCGAGCAGGAAGCCTGCTGGGCCTTAAGGTCACCTGTAAGTGCCCATGAAACGTATAAGCCTGTCCTGTGAGTGTGCTGTAAATACAGCACGTAATGAACGCCCTGTACAAAAACAATGCACTCTTTTGTTCGCACCCCAGCCAATCTACAGCATGGATGAGAGTCGATCTGACAACTGGCGGTAAACGTGCACATATGTGGGCTAAAGGTCGATGATGCCAGGGCACGCTGGGAGGGGGGGGGTCACTGCATGGGGGCTTACACACTGCTCTGCCTTCATTTCACATACTTTCTGGTGTTTTGCATATTTTTTGAGACTGAAGTACTGAAAGAACTCTGATTAAGATCTGTTGCGGAGGGAAAGCAGGTAAAGACGTGAACCGCAAGAAGTCATCGACGTCATCTGTCAGTCACTGTAAAAAGTCGTTGGAAGGACTCAAACGAAAAATTATTCACCTCTTTTTTGAAACCCCAGCTATAATTACACCATTAGCATTCAATTCATTAACATTAAGCTGTAACTATTCGGTATTTCACTCAGTGTACGTAGGGCTACCGCTGTAGCTGCATTTCTGGGTTTAACGATGTCTGGCGCTCGGGAATCCTAGATGCACACTTACATTCACTGTTATTGCGCTGCGTCCTGTTGTGCTGAACGACCGTGGAGCCCAGTCATTAACGGTAAGTGGTCCATTGTTATCTCTTTGCTGGATCAGCATAAACGCACACAGGCGGAGGAGATGTACAGGCATAATGATTCATTTTAAACTATTTATATACGGCGCCCCTCCCCCATAGTTACCCCGAAGTGCACTAATGAAACTCCCTGTGGCCCAGAAGCATACATGATCATATGGTACAACTGCGTGTTGGGCAGGTTGACCAAGACCACCCCCCCTGGCCGGCCAAGTCAAGCAAGGAACAGACGGACGGAAAAAAAGGACAGCAGCCATCAGACCTCCAGTAGCCCTACGGTGTGTAGGAGTGTCCCGTGTGTCTGAGGGTGAGGGTTAATGCCTGGGAAGAATTATGGATCCTCATTGTGGGAGTCAAAATCATCACACAACACCACCTGCTTAATTAACAGTAGTAAACTGCAAGAAATAGTACAAAATAAAATAAAAAAAATAATAATTCCCAAAACCAACCTTGCCAAGTTTAATGTTTATTTGTGAACTGCAAATCATCAGGTTTCATGCAGGTACTCCTCTCACAGTCCAAAGATGCTGAGTTAGGCTAATTTGTCTTTAATTCGCCCATAATGTGTTAGTGTATATGCCCAGCATGGACCGGCGTCCCATCCAGAGTGCGGCGAGCATCACCTAGCATTCTGTATTAAAGGACCTACACTGAATTGGCCAAACACTGTGAGATATAATGCCAAGCTTCTTATCAGCTCATAAATACACACCCAACTGCCCTCCATCTCTCACTGCCCAATAAATGTTTCCTCCAATGGTTTTATTTAATGAATTGCCAAAAATAAATCAATAAATTATCAAATAAATCCGAGAAATAAAGTCTCAAATCATAAAATGGAACAGGACCTACCTTAATGACTGTCTTTCAATGGACCAATAACAGATTTTAAAGGCTACTGAGTTTTCTTAGTTGCTACCAAACACAAAGATACAAGATTTAACATATAAAGATTAAAGTACATATAGCTACAGATACATCCACCAATCCCCCACCTTCTTGTTCTGGTCAGGATAACTACTAATAAAAACTAACTCTCAAAAGCAATATAAGGTAAATCTTTACAGTACGGATTTAATTATTTATACAAAATAACGATAATGGAACAATAATATACATATAACCAATAATGATAATCCCATGTCAGTAGTCATTTCTTATTGTTCACTGGCATGAACAGAAACTAAGAGTAGCCTAGCTATTCTGAATGTATATTTTTTAAAAAGCATTTTATTGGTTTTAAATCGCCTGCTATCAATTTCGCTCCTAAAAAAAACTCACATAAAATCCAGCTGATCGTTTATGTCTCGAGGGAGGTCCCTGCAACTCCACAAACATGAAAGAGACTCCACTATAAATAAGACACTGAATGTGGGTCAGTGACCAACTGGTAAGCTTCAGGTCCTTCTACACACCCAGACTCCAGAAAGTATATGATCTCTGGTCTTTTAACATGTACAGATTGGCTCAAAGAGCTCCGAACAAAAGCCACCTAAGTGTCAGAGTTT